CAACAAAAGGGAAAAGAATGTTAGCATTACAGAGTTTGAGTACTGGGTGGTGCTGGGAACACCCCATAAAACAAGCAATGATTGGAATGGGGAGAACAGGACACCAAGTACAGCAGGGAGCTGTTGGGAAGAGCTAGTGGATCAAGAAGTCTAATGTTAGAGCTGTTGCTTTGAGGTGTGAGAGAGGCATCAGAAGGGTTTATGTAGATGTCTTAGGGTTTCTATTGCTGCAACAAAACACCATGAGCAAAGAGCAAATTGGGGAGAAAAGGGTTTATTCAGCTTACACTTTCACATTGCTGTTCATCACTGAAGGAAATCAGGACAAGAACCCAAAAGGGCAGGAACCTGGAGGGGAGCTGTTTGCTGGCCTGCTTCCCACTGCTTGTTTGGCCTACTTTCTAGAACCCAGGACCTCCAGCCCAAGGATGGCTCCACCCACAAAGGGCTGGGCCTCCTCCACTGATCACTAATTGAGAAAATGTCATTACAACTGGATCTCATGGGGACAATTTTTCAACTGAGGCTTCCTCCTCTCCGATGACTCTAGCTTGTGTTAAGTTGACACAAAACCAGCCAGTACAAGAGGTGACCACCAAAGTTGAACTGTTTCTTGGAAAAGTTGGTTCCAATAGCAAACTGTATGGTCATATTTGAGGATGGAGGCAGAAACCAAAGAAACTGATAGAGAGACATTGTACCTAGAGCACAGCCTGTTGAAGTGTGATCCTAATTAGTCTTATCAATAATCACTTGGAGTCAGATATTGAAGGTGAAAGCTGAAAGAACAAAGAAGCAGAGTGTCAGTCACTAGAGACTTTTTACCTCTATGAATCCTCAGACCAAATGGAGGCGAGATCTTGTCTCTATCCACCTTATATTCCTGTCTCTGCCTCCTGATTGTGCTGGGATTAAAGGTGTGAGCCTCCCAAGTGCTGTCGTTAAAGGTGTGTGCCACCATCCCCTGACCTCTATGGTTAACCAGTGGCTAGCTCCACCCTCTGATCTCCAGGCAAACGTTATTCGTCAGAACACAAGCAAAATATTACAAAACATTCCCCCTTTTGTCTATAAGCAAGAACAAAATATCACACAACAGCCCAGAGATGTGAAAGGGGCTCAGGTACACTTAACCCCAGGCCAAGATCCCTGAGGAAGTAAAGTGATTAGATTTAAAGTAAGGATTATTGGAATTATCATGGAAAGAATTAGCATTCTTAAAGACTGTCTAGAGGGTTTAAATGCATAGCCAATTCAGGAACAGGAATGAGTTGTAAAAGAAATGTTATTTATCTTCATGGTACAATTCTACTCTATGATTTATTCCTAAGCAAGGAACATAATGAAACCTGTAACCAAATACTTATATGCAGGAAGAGTGAGCTCAACATTATTAGTAATGACAGAAAATAGGAAATCATATAAATGCTGCATAAGAGCACATCATAGTACATCCATCATAAGCAATCTAATGGAAAGCTTCAAAATCATGTTACCCAGCAGCAGAATGTGACATAAAGTTACTACCCAGTAAAGGTTATTTTTATTGCTATTAAAACATATGGATAATAGTTTATTAAAATTGCATGTTTCTGAAACATCTAGAAACGTAAGAAAATCTTTTCAAAATTACAACCCTAGCATACTGAATGCTCCCAATTGCATTCTTATTATTATTTAAATATATTTTAATGGTATTCTTTCCCCTACCCCAAGTATTCTCAGACCCTCCCACTTCCCTATCCACTCAATTTCAAGTTATTTTCTTTCTAAGAAAAAAATACAAAAACAAAAGCAAGCAAACAAACCATTAAGACAAAAACACTGAAACAAAACAGAAAAAGCATACAGAAAACATGAAGCTCATTTTGTGTTGGCCAGTGAATCTTGGGTATGGGCTTGCCCTGAGTGTGGTTGATGCTCACTGTCACTCCCTTGGAGAAAATTGATTTCCTCTTTACAAGTGGTTATCAATTGCAAAACTTCATTTTACTGCTTCTTCTTTAACAAAAAAATAATAGTAGATTTTCCCCTAGGCTCATGACCTGTGTAATCTCAGGTTTATGGCCACTTTCATAGTACCAGGTATGGGTTCCATCTCATGGAGAGGGCCTTAATTCCAACCAGGATAGTTGATCACTCCCATAATATCTGTGTCACTATTGCACCAGTATATCTGACAGGCAGGTTGCTGTTGTATTCCATATAGTTTGTAGTTAAGTGACATCAATGATTACCTTTCTCCTCTATAGCATGCAACACACCTTCCAGCATAATGAATACTAATTAGTAGAGGTGCAGCTTCTAGTTAGGCACCAAACTCAGTTTTTCTCTGCTCAATGACATAAGAAGCATTGTCTTCGATAACAGGACTTCGATACCATCAGATTGTAGAGAGGAACCAATAGCCTTGGTAGTGATCTGTGATGTTGCAGGGGGGTAGGGATTCTTTGACCAATGACTCAACAAAATATAGTCAATTGCTAGTCCTGTGAGTTTTACTCTGTGGCATAATATGTCTAGTTGGGGCATTGTCTCCCCCATTTTTAGGTAACTCTAGTTAAATTACTTTCATATATTTGCATATTTTATGAAACTTCTATAGTAGTAGGTTTCCACATGACTTTTCAAAAGGTCTTTAAAGTTAATAATTCTCTCTCCATCTGCCCTCCTATACACTTCTCTATTTAATGAGGTAGAAACTGTCATGTTGGTCTATGCACCAACTACCCATGCCTATTCTCCACTGTTCTTACTGCTTGATTTTATAATTAATTCCCTGTTTCTCAAGAAGTCTACAATTTTGGTGCAGTATATGATTAATTTGAAAAGAAATGATCTTACAATACTCAGCATTTTCATCAAGGAACAAGATTGTACTCTGATGACTCACCTTTATGTTAAAAAGCCAAGTAATTTATTTACAAAGCACATCATGTTTATATGACATTCTATGTTGTTTATTTCTAGAGTATTTTCTATAATGTTAATACATCATTAAAGGATCTCTGTAGACTTTATAAGCTGCTTTTTCATTCAGCCACTTACTTCTCATGTTAGTTCAGTGATTCCTTAGCTGATTCTTTCAGATTGCTCTGTTGATTGGCATTTTACTATGCATTCATATCCCCAAGCTTATTTCAGTGGATCTGAATATTCAGAATCTTTGAAATACTGTAAATGTTGAAAGAATAAGTGGGAGTTTGTCCTTGTTTCTGATTCAAATGATTTGCATTAAGTATAAAGAATATTGTAATTTTTAAAAGAATTACTGACTGAGGAAGTTTCTTTCCAATATTAAAGGAAGAATGTATGCATTATTTACTAAGAAAGAAGGGTTAGATTTATGCTGCTCATATATTAAAAAAGTACTTATGTACAAGTCTTAAACCAGTGGAAGTTGTCATTTGGATGGAATTTAAATAAGGTAAAGAACATGGAGGAAAAAATAAAATTGTAGCCTCAACACAATGGGTAATCTTCCAATGTAAATTAATAATCTTGGGGAGATGGAGAGAAGGTTCAAAGGTTAAGGGAGTTTACCACTCTCACAGAAGCCCAACTTTAGTTCCCAGGACCCACATTGGATGTCAAACAATGCCCTATAATTCTAGCTCCAGAAGAATGACACCCTCTTCTGGTCTCCAGGGGTACTAAGTTTACATACAGAAAGCCACATGCATACATATATACACATGAAGTTGGTTGTTTTAATTTAAAAATTATGGAGAGATAGAAGCAAATTTCAACAATACCTAAGGATTCTTGTCATCATGAGCTTCTGGTGTGAGCTGTGTGTTGGTCTTTGTGTTCTGAGTATTTTAATAGCATGCTATGCTGTGTAGAATAACAAAAAAAATATATGTTGATTCAATGAAAGGAAAACATCCTGGGATGACTTCAAGCTCTATATTGGAGAGAAATTGCTGAAAAGAAGGCATTGTAGAGGATCAAATTACAGGGACATAAATTTGGTTGGGGAACTGTTGAATTTGATGTTCCTATAGAACATTCAAGAAGAAACAATATAACTGAATTTGGAGCCAAAAAGAACAGGACACACACAGAGTTCTGGGCAGCTGTGGCTTTGCAGAGTGCATAATGCAAGCCATCTAGAGTAATAATATGAAGGGGACAGGGCAGGTACTACCCTGGTGATGGTCTCAGAGTGAACAACCATTTGCAGACCAAAGGGAAAGGAAAGACAGTAGTCACAATGTGGGAAGTTTCAGAAACAAAGGAGAGGAAAGTGATGAGAAAGAGAGGGTTCTTTGAGATACACGGGGTGCTGTTGAACTACAGAATAGTTTGAGAGGAGATTATTTTTGTCTTTTGTGTGAGAAGTTTCAGAAAACTATGAAGATGAAAGTCAGAGTAGTCTACCGATGTTCTAATGTAAAAAAAACCAAGTAGATGGGTACTTTGTGGCCATGTATATGTACAGTTTGGTATGTATGTATGCGTATAGATAAATAGAATGTGAACAGATACTGTATTCTGAAACACCCCATAAAAATAAAGTACATATAAGCTATGTCTCTGTGTGTAAGAAATTCAAAGAGAATTCTCTCTGTGGAAGTTTCTTAAGGCCAAATGTACATTTGGGTCCACGGTTCCAAAGAAGAAGATGGCCAAGTGTGACTATATGAATTTGTGAGGAAAACCATCTCAGTCTGTAAAATGAGGCTAAAAGTCATTGGACTCTATGGCACACAACAAAGACACCTGAAATAATGTGTCAGTTGGGATTCTTTGGGATCTTCTGTATTGCTGTCAGCACAGACAGTATCAGAGATAGGGCAGGGTACACACAGTGTAGAAACAGCTCCATGGAGGGGCCTGCCAGACAAGGACAAAAGCCAGAGAAAAGGATTATCATCTACCTCTCCTCAAGTTAGGTCACAGCTCCACCCATTACAGCCAGCTAGTATTTTGGTCCAGCCCAGCTGCCAGAGAACAGGGACAGGTGCTGGCCTCACAGGTTTTGGTTTGAGTCTCAGTCACTGTGGTATGTTTTCGGCGGAGGAACCAAGCTCACCGTCCTAGGTAAGTGGCTTTAATGCTCCTTCTCATTCAGTTCAACCCTTGTTGTCTTGGAAAGGTCTGGTTTTTCCCTCTGGAAACCTCTTCTCATCTGCCCTCCCCAGACTTAAGGACTGCATCCTTAGCCTTCTCCATGGTGGCTAGGGGAGATAAGTATTTTAGAGTAATCTGCAGGAAGGGCCAGGAGATCAGAAGCATCTGGCCTCAGATTCTAATAAATATGCTGTGATCTCACGGGCTTTAGTTAGGGTCAGGCAGGTGTCAAGGGCTCCATCCTTGTTCTCAGCCAGATTAATCATTGGGGACCATTGACTGGGTCAAAGAAGAGGTACTAGGACTTTGTCAGAGCCCACAGTATCTTTATAGGGTGTCAAGGGTTGGATCTAGAGATGTACGTCCAGCTTCCAGGGACTTAGATTACCTAAGTGGGGACCGCAGAGGCATAGTGAAGGAGTAGGCTTGTCATAGTCTTCAGTTCTCTGATCTTCTACTGAGCTGCTGAGGTCCTCTAGACAGAGAAACAGCACTGAGTAGTAGGGAAACCAGATCCTGCTCATCTAAGGATTATGGAAGATTCTGTCTAGAAAGCTGCATATCCCTGGGTTATGGTGTCTTGTGTTTCCATTGTCTGCTTTCTATCTTCTTCAAATGGCATGTTAAACTTAGGAGGTCAGGAATGAGGAACAAACTTGGGGTTTCAGAATGCTCACTGACTGTCAGGGAAGCAGGCTGTTGCTGTGAGCCAGTGACTGCAATGCTCTTCCATCTGAGTGAAGAAACCTCTAGAACATGGTGAGTATAGAAGGAATAGTGGTCAGGTCAAAATGTGCAGGAGGCATCAGAGCCCTGGAGTAGCCTCAGATCTTCTCTGAGTGGAGCACACTACCTGGTGGAAAAGCTGCGTGGGTTGATGTAGAAACTCTGTGGTCCAAGATAACAGGAGGTTCAGTGTCCCCGGGTGCTGGGGACAAAGAAGGGGCCTCCTCACTTAATGAAAATCATTCTTCAAAGCAAGGTGTAATATAACCTGTTCTCCAGAGAGATCTGACCACCTCAGGAATAAAGAGCAGGTGGGCTGGGGAGGGTAATCTGATATGGGGCAAATTCCAAGTTAGATTATATTCAATAGGGTGGAGAGAGCACAGTCATGCCTGTAGACAGTGTCCAGGTCACTTCACTTGGGAGAGTATCCAGGAAAAGGCTACTAAGAAGGCTGTACTCATGGAGGCTCAAGGGGGCAGATGACAAAGAAGAGAAAGTTCCAGGTGAATAAGATGACCGAAGTGAAGAGTCACTGAGATTTTGATATTTTGTATTTTGTCTCCTGACTCAATCCCCTTCCTTTATTCACACAGGTCAGCCAAAGTCCACTCCCACAATCACAGTGTTTCCACCTTCCTCTGAGGAGCTCAAGACAAACCAAGCCACAGTGGTGTGTATGATTAACGACTTCTACCCGGGCAGTGTAACCGTGACCTGGAAGGCAAATGGTGTACCTATCACCCAGGGTGTGCAGACTACAAATCCCTCCAAACATAACAACAAGTACATGGCCAACAGCTTCCTCACTTTGACAGCAGACCAGTGGAGATCTCACAATCACTTGTCCTGCCAAGTTACACATGAAGGGAACGTTGTAGAAAAGAGTGTGTCCCCTGCAGACTGTTTCTAGGAGCCCAGCCTTTCCTTAGCCTAGGGGACCCAGAATGGGGTCTCTTCTCTGTGCTACCAATCTCAACCTTTCTCTTTTACCCACTGAATATTCAATAAAATATCATTGATCAGAAGTACTGCCTTATCACATTTGTTCTCCTTATATGTTTAATTTTGAAGCCTTTGAATCTACAATGTGTGTGTGTGGGGGGGTTGGATTTAGGTTCCCAGTGAGAAATTAGTTCTCCTTTGAAACATGCACAGGGTATCACCCTAAGAGTGACCTTTCCCTTGCTCTACACTCTTCTCTGAGCCCTGTGATGCAGGGACACTCATTTAGAATGCAGCTGAAGTAAGATATCATGTTTCAGGCTAAACAACTAACTTAATATTACATAGGAAATCCCACAATTCTGTATATAATTCAAAACATTGGTGCTCATGGTCCTCTATACAGGGGCATGAGGTGGGATAACCACTCAAGCATAATAACTTCATCCAATGGGAAATGGATCTAACTCAATTCCTGAAGGGGTTCCAATTAATTGTTCATAGGAAGTGGTCTCAGAGTTAAATTCCAGACTACTCAAGGTCATGTTGGGTGAGACTTCAAGGAAGACTGAGTGTGACCTGAGAGGTAAACTCAAGCCAGTTGCTTGGGTAGAGTTAGGTGTATCAGGCACCCTCTTCACTGGCCCAAGTCCTCTCATGTGCATCAGCACACCAGTGTGCACTTCAGATTGGTGTCAATCAAGGTCTTTGGAATTCACAATCAACATTCAGTGACCCAGCCTCTGTCCAAGTCAGCAAGGATTTAGTTGTTCAGGGCTTGGAGACATCATCCTTGGTAGCTCATAAACAGTATGGACACTGAATACATTCAGAACTCTGGTGGATTAATACAGTACAGTAGCATAGTCTGCCAAGCCAGAAATATTCTTCAACAATGAGGCAGAGTGACAGTTGACAACACTGAGCTTGACCTCAGGCCCCAAGTCCCTAGTTTCTGAGCTAGGAAAAACCTTTGGGATTTGTGCTTCATGGCAGCTTTCTGATGTTAGGGCATGATAAAGTTTGTGCCCAATAATTGTAAGTGAAGACCCTGAGTGTCCTCACAGTAGTGTTCCTTGCTAGGGTCAGTGCCAGCACTCATCCGTACCCAGATATTGCCCAGAGACTCACTTCCTCATCCTTTTGCTTCAAGTTTTCATTGACAAATTTGGACACAAAAATTAGGAAACACAGAAATAGTAATGTTCTCATAATCCCACCTAGGAACCTCTAACACTCATTTCAACTGGATTTTGATTCAACTATAACATTAAACTCTTCCCTTATATTGTGTAACAAAAGCACATTCCAGAACTTGTATCTTGTGTGATATGATTATATATACTTCCGGGTTTACAGAAAGAATGCCTAGACAGCATATCTAACTCCAAAAGAAGTTATTGATTATTTCTTGATATCAGGTAATAGTCAAGTTGTCATTAAATGATTGCATGACATGACCATATATTATTTAGTAATGCATTATTGGTAATGATTCTACCATGTGTAGGAAGATGAGATGTGGATTGAAACTGATGGTTGTGTGTGCTCTCCACCTGCTGTCTTCTGCAGGGTCTCAGACCTCTGTTTTTCTTCTTCACCAGGCAGGAGCTACAGAGACTGAGTTAGTGGGCCCAAGACTTTGCATAGACTCCATGCAGTTAGTAGCTTCCTTGACCTGTTACCAAGGGCTCCTCTCTGTTCATTCTTATCCTGTAAAGAGCTTCTTCTAAAGTAAGTGTGGAAATTTTATGAATGACTTTCTGGTAAGGCTGGCTCAGAGGACATTTGGGATCCTGGGAAGCACGATCTTTCAGAGGGCACTGTGTATCCCAGAATCACCAGAGACTGCATATGTCAGCTGAAAGTGGAGGGTAAGGTGCATGGAGGGTTTTTGTAGGAGCCTATATCACAGTGTTGGGTGTTTGGCGGAGGCACCACATTGACTGTCCTAGGTAAGTGACTCTTTCCTCTTCTATTACTATAACCTCTAAGGTTTGAGATGATTTTTTTGTTTAAATATTTCTCATTCTCTATTCTACTTCATGCTTAAACTTCATTCTAAGTAAATAATCTCTTGCTTCTCTAGTTCCTGCAGCTCACCTCAGATGGTTCCCTGTCAATTTTCTTGTCTAATCTCAAAGACGAGGGCAAAAAAAGATAAAGTGTTAATATGTGTCTGTCATTCTGTTGAGATATGCAGTGCTCTGAAAAGTACTCCGCTGTGCCATTCTCTGTGAGTGTCTATCTTTAATGAACTTTGTGAGGGCTAAAGTGAGTTACTATCTCATGGGGAAGGAAGGCTAGAGGCATAGAGGGAGAGGCAGCTGTTGAATTAGGAGAACATAGAACACTCAGCGCTGAGGCTGGTGAATAACATGTCAGAGGTCAGACAAGCTGGAGAGTGGAACTTGGGATTCAGTTTCTAGGATAGGCAGGAAAAATGATCCCCAAGCTCCCATGGAAAGCCATGAATACAGCAGTAACCAATCTAGAACTCAGGAATTTTAGTAAGGAGAAGAAAGGTAAGGGAGCTCTGGACACAGGAAGTCAAGAGAAGAGAGACTGGAGATGCAGTCAGGAAGCGGGTTCCTGGGTCTCTCTAAGACACTGATTAGGAAACAGAGCAACTGCGTTCACATAGCTCTGGTCCTGATCCATGAAAATTACACAACTCATCCAGAGAAGGGGATCTCACCTCAGTTTGCAGAATGAGAAACAGTTCACCCAGATCCATGCTACACTGAGCAGAGGCCAGGGACCTACAAGACACTGACTTTAAACTCCTAGGTTTAAAGTTTAGACTCAGCAGAGGTTTTACATCAGAACTGTCTTTGGAGTGGGGCAGACAGACTGCAGACATATTAAAAAAATAGAAACAAGGTTACAAGGGCAGGAAAGTGAAGGTCAGTTATCTTTGTTGAAGGTCAAAGTGCAGGGAGGTATCAAGTGAACTACTGCACAAATATGGGGAGCATAATTCCTAAGAACATAGGGAGTATATAGAAGAAATGCATACCCCATTTTCTGTACTCTGTGTGTTCAAACACCGTCACTAAACTCAAGACACTTAAAATGCTACCTCCAGGATTCCTATTGGAAGACTAAGATTCTGACCTTCTCTTTCTCTACCCTGCAGGTCAACCCAAGGCTACACCTTCAGTCACTCTGTTTCCACCATCCTCTGAGGAGCTTAAGACCAAAAAGGCCACACTGGTGTGTGTGATGACTGACTTTTACCCAGGTGTTGTGACAGTGGCCTGGAAGGCAGATGGTACACCTATCACCCAGGGTGTAGACACCACTAGACCTTGGAAACAGGGTGACAAGTACGTGGCTAACAGCTACCTGCACTTGACAGAAGAAGCATGGAAATCTAAAAGCAGTGTCAGCTGCCTGGTCACTCATGAAGGGGACACTGTGGAGAAGAGATTGTCCCCTGGAGTGTGTTTCTAGACCTTTCAACATTCATCTCACCCACACAGGCTGGGATTTGAATGATGCACAAGTATACCTTACTGCTCTTGACTACATAGCCCTTCTCCCTGCTCCTGAAATGCATAATAAAATATCCATTCTCAGCTTGTAATTCTACTCTAACTTATTTGTTTTAGTGTATATTTCACTGGGATTCAGAGTGGTGTGGGGATGTCCTGGCACCCTGGAGTCTGCAACCAGGGTTATAACCTGCATCATCACCCCAGGGAGTACCATCTCCACACAGACACATTTTCCCAGCCCTCCTCTGGATCTCTGATCATACCATGCAGTTATACAGTGTGAATGTCATAGACTTCCATAATCTCACCTAATATACCTAATATATATATATATATATATATATATATATATATATATATATATATATATACCTAATAACATGTCCCCTCCATTTCTAACAATCTATTGGCACTTAGTCATCTTGCCTTAGAATTACAGTGTGTGGACTGGGACACGTCTATTATCTGTGATCTCAGTTTCTATTACTCAAGTCAAAATGAATAGATAGTACTGGGAAATTGGAAGTTTATTACAATCAATACAAACAAGTAAAATCAGGCTGAAGATAGAGTGTATTTGGAGTTCATGAAGGCTGCAGTCAGCCTTTATGTGAACATGAACTAAGGCAAACAAGACATGATTTCCAGCCCAAATGTTAACAAAGGCATTCAGTGCTGAATGTGAGAGACAATGACAAGTCTCTACTTCAGAACTTGATTCTGGGATTTGTCATACAACATCAGGGCTGAAGGCTCCAGGCATGACTAAATATCTGGGTACCCTACAGAGAACAAGACTGTCCCTAGAATCCCCATCCAACCAGGTCTCATTTTTTTCCCTAGCTCAAGGCTTAATAGTTCAGGGTGCACCTGTATCCTGAAGTTATCACAGGCCCCTACTAGGGGACTAGGTCAACCCCCTAGCAATACAGACCTTGTTTAACACCATTGTTCTATAATTCCCAGGTCTTAGGGACACAGGACCAGGGTCCGTACTAAGTTTATTGTTGAGGAATCAGCCTGGTAACTTGGCCTAAAAGATCAGGGAATATTTAAAACAGTGGTATGAGCAGAAAGAAGGCAATACTACTAGATACTAGCCATACCAATTCAAACCGTAGTTTCTGCCTTAAAGGGGTATTCAGTGGATTATGTTGTACAGCAACTGACTTTAGTTCATGGTGGTGATTCAAAGTTGAGGTTGTGTCCCTGACCATATTGGATTCAATGCCAGCTCCACTCTCATCCACCAGCTACTACCTATAGGAACACATTTTCATCACTTTGTTGTAACATTGTAAGCACAGAATTTAACTTATTCCTTGGGGACACACCCATCGTCACATAGGCATGCCTCACATCACTTATCACAGGATTCCTATTATTTTATTTTAATATGACCCTTAACAACATCTCCCGTTTTGGTGCTCCTGATATATGAATTTTCTCTTCTTTATGATGTGTTAAAAGTTTAATAGAGACACAAAACAGCTGTGATCTCAGTAGACTAGTCCTAATGCCCAGTGGTCAGATGTCTTTTGGTTGTCAATGTGGCAGAGCATGATTTAATTCAACATTGGCTTATGCCCAGACTCACGGTGGGGTGTCAGAGGGTAGGAGGCTGTATACTGGTGAGTCTCCTGGGTTCAATTTTTTTCCCAGTCTTGGCAGAAATACTCTAACAGAGTGAGGGAAGTGATTGGACTGAGGATATCAATATACTGAAGAGAAAATGAGAAAGGGACAAAGAAGTGCTTCCCATGAGAAAACAGGCCCTTTTACCTTTCCAAGGACAAGCTTGACACCTTGACTGCCATGTGGCTTGTGATTCATAAGTCAAAAAGTGGGCATATCTATATCCCACAACTGGAATTCTTGGGGGTGGGGGAAGTCCTGATAGGAACTAGTGACAGGGACGTGTTGAGAGAAGAAACTGTCCTGATATGACAGATCTCCCCAGAGCCTTCAGGATGACATTTGAGCAGGATCAGTCCCAGAAGAATGTAAACCTTGATATATGAAAACTTCTGGGATCAAATTCCAGGGCTTGTCAAGTGTTCTAATAGTTCAGCACAGCAACTGCACAGGTTCAATCCAGAAATGGTCCCAGCACTGATAGGAGAAAACAAACATAATTTACCATAACTAACAAAAAAAGCTATCTCCAGTTGACAACTGCTTGCAAAGAAGAAAGTAATTTTCACCAATGGAGTCTCACTGGGGGGTATATAAACCACATGCAAGGCTTGGCCTTGTGTCCAGCAGTAGATGACCAACACAAAACAAACTCACTGGTGATTTTGAGGATATTTCGTCTCATATTGATTTGGCTATTCCTTATCTCACAGGTCCTTTGCTTTGCTTGTGTTTTATGGTTTCTGATTATGTGTTTTTATGACTTTTGTGTGTGTTGTGCTTTTTAATTGATTTCTTTAAAAAATTCAGTTTTTTTATTTGCCTGTTTGTTTTCTAGGAGAGAGAGAAAGAGAGAGAGAGAGAGAGAGAGAGAGAGAGAGAGAGAGAGAGAGAGAGAGAGAGAGTGAGTTTAGAGATGAATGGGTGTGGAGATGAGGATCTGAGAGGAGATGGGGGAGGGGAAACTGTGATCAGAAAAGGAAAATTAAATCATGCTATGGATAGAGTATGAATAAAGTTGTTAAAGATTGGAGCCTGGACATGGTCAGTCTATGTGAGTATAAGATTCAAGTCAATTTGGGAATGACCCCAAGATTAACACTCAGGAACTCTGATTAATAGAAGCTGTTTCAAAATTGATTTCAGGACGAGACTCAAGTCATGAAAGGCCAAAGCAGAGTGAGTGTGGCCTGAGAACTGTCAACAAGGCCAGGTGTTCAGGAAGTCTCAGCTGGTCCACATGCTTCTTCACTAGCCCATGTCCTTTCATGTGTAACTTCATCTGGTGTGGACCTCAAACTGATGTCAGGAGTGATCATTAACACAGATCTGCCTTCCTTGGTCTAGTGCTTATCCAGCTTGGTTGGTCCATCATATTCAGGTCCTGTGTAAAACATTGTCTGTTGTTAACAAGGGACATGGCAGTTGCCTGCACCAGAGATCCTGGTCAACCTGTCAGCTCAGTGACACACTCTGAAAATCAGGAGACATCCTCAAAGATGAGACAGAGTGATAGGGAAGGTAAAAGTAATGTTTGATCCTGGCCAGAACATTCCAAACCTCAGCCTCTGATATAGAAGAAATTTTGGAAACTTGTATCTCACAGTATTTGTCTTATTCTAGTTCACAGAAATACTTTCTGTGACCCAAAGTTGGAGGGGATTACTTTGTGGAAGAAAGAGATTGAAATGAAGTTGGGTATCATTGTATCTCAGCGTGTTCTAGGCTATTAGAACACCGCCACCAAAGTAGTAGCTCTGCTGAGGGCAAAGCCAGAACCTGCTGAGTCCCATCTGCTACCCAGAGACAAGACTCATCCTGTTGTTGCATGGTTTTATTACAGAGAATACAAAACATAAGGAACAGAGGCATGTCAATGTTTCTATTGATTAGTCACTGAATAATTTATTAAATTATTTCAATTGACCTTTGACAGCATAAGTCTTCCTTTACATAATATCTTGAAGTGGATCTTGACAGGTTGTCTTTATGTGTATATATTCCACCACAGTTATGCATTGATAATAACTAAAATGTTCAGAAAAATCAACTCTAGATTGAAATTATGGACAACATTTCAGAAAAGAGTAATGTTGTCATCATATACCCATAAATATCTTAGACCCATAGTGTTTTTCACACTGGCATTATTCCTTCTTGTTTCTTTATATGTATACATCACAAGGATGGATTCTGTTTCTTAATCTACACAACTAACCTGTGTCTTTTGATTGAAGAGTTGACAGTATGAATATTTACATTTAATATTAAAAGGTGCTTGTTGATTGCTCTCATATTTTTTTTTACTGTATATGTTCTTAGTTTTATTTTGTGTCTCACTGAGCAGTCCCTCTACTCAGCTTCAGTAATTACAGCTTCATTTCTCTGTGTGTAGGAAATTGAAAGATAGCTTAAAATAGTCATGATACATGAGTATGTTCTAGGCTGTTGAAAACTGTGGGGTCCACAGGTCACTCTGGTTCCCATCCAGTCAGAAGGTAAAGGAGGAGAGCTGCTGATCCTAGGATTCTTTTGTTCCTGTAGCTGCCCAATATCTTCCTAAGTTGTTGGTGGTAACAGCTCACTGCTTCTTACTCCATGAAAAGTTGCTCTTCTATACAGTTATTGAAAAGGATCAGTTTACTTTGAAAGAGGATAATTCCAAGGACTGGTAGCATTTTCAATGAAAGACCTCCAGTACCGCTCATTTTCAGTGAGCTCAACATCCTCTCAGGAAGACAGTTACATTTAAGCATTCCCCCAGCACAACTGCAACCAAAGGCTGCTGCATCCATGACCTTGAGCAAAGCTCACACATTGTTTTAATGAACCTGTGTCACAGTATTGGATGTTTGGCAGAGTGGCTGAGCTGGCCACCTTAAGTCGGTGTCTGTTTTCCTTGTTTTTCTAAAGGTTCAAATACATTTCTGCTTTGTTGTTGTTCTTTTTTCTTGTTATACTTAGACATGGTGAGTGGTATAAAAAGAAGGCCAAGGCTTAAGATAGTCTTAGGAAGTTACATACAGGTATCTTGGCCAAGAAATCTTCAGTACATGGGGAACAATTAAAGGAAATTTAGCCTACATTCCATATGATGAGTTTGTCAACCCAGAGCTCCAAATGGAACCTTTTCACACACTGAGCTCAGGAGCCACAAGCATACCTCTGACCCTTCACCTCTGACCCTTCATCATTGTCACATTATTGGTGAGCTCAAAAACATACCTCTATCACTCTGTCCCTACTATCTTTTGAGGAACTCCAAGTCAACAAGATTACTATATGTATCAGATCAGTGACTTCTACCAAATTATCATGACTGTGGCCTGTAAAGCAGGTGGTACCTTTGTCACATAGAATGAGAAAGCCACACAGCTTTCCAAACACAACAAATACATATCCAGCAGCTATAAGACTCTGGTACCTGACCATGTGACCACTGGAGATC